TGGGGTAAACCCCCCATGCGAGAAAACAAACTGGTGGGAAAGCATGCTCTCCTTCAATAATTCTCTATGTCACTCTCCACCTATCCCGCTTTCTACACTCTGGGGGGGGGGGGGGGGGGGGGGCGACATCTTGCACAGAGTGTCAGTGTCGTATTTGGCGTTCGAACAGGCATGGAACACGTGTTCGGTTTCACGCGAGAAAACTACATAGCAGTACAGCATTCTTACACTACACAAGAGTGCGGCACCCACCCGCACCGTGGGAGGAGAGGAGGGAGGACACGCCGTTCCGGGTGCAGCCGCCCCGAGGCCTACAAATACCGCACGTGTGCCAAGCCAACCCCGTCCACGCTCCGCATGTGTGCTGGTGAAACAATCTATTATATTAATGGTATCAATGGTACTCCAAAAGTTGTAGGGCACGAAAAAAACTGTGGCTACAAGCGTACAGCGGCGGCTACCGTTTAAGAGAGAGTGGTGACAAGCCAGTACTTCTCTCTTAAATCCGGTTTTCTCTTAAACCGTATTCTGAAATGTATGTACTTCTCATGGTCGTGACGAACCAGTTTGACTGTCTTAAAATCGGTAGTTTCTCTTAAATAGCCTCCCTTTAAACCGTAGCCGCCACTGTACCCGGTTCTCACATACGGTACCCGACACTTGTCTGCAACTCTCTTACGGGGCCGCTCGATGATTGGTCGCTGCACGGAAGGTCAAATATTTCCCGTTGTGCTGTGGTTTTGAAAGCACGCAAACACGCCATGCCATACGCATCATGTGTCCAATTCAACCGTTTGTCCGCGCGTGCTTTGATCGCTCGTGCAGAGCACTCTTGGCATTTGCTGGTGAGCTGGTCGTTCCTTGCGATCTGAAGAACGAGTGCACGACATCCGTTCAACAAAGGTTCTGGGGGCTGTACAGGAAGAGGCACATGCACTTACTTCTCCGCGCCTCACCTTGCTCTTGCGAGCTGAAAGTTCTTCTCCATCTCGACGGGACTGGCCTCCTTTAAGTTCGACAGAACCCCGACTAAGATGCTCACCAACCCCAGCGCCCCGGCCGCAGCGAACACGTAGAGGAGCACGTATAGGGGCTCACCGTACCTGGCCACGACAATAAAAAAAGGAAAATAAAACGCTCAATCAATCAATGAGGTTCGCTCAGGAGCGCAGCAGCCAGCCGCACGGAGCTAAGAATCAAATTTCAAAACACATGAAGTAGACTATTATCTCCCACGAAAAAAAAAACACGCTTTCATGGATACCTCAAAGCAAAAGACAGCCAGAGAGCGGGCTGTGGTGGCGAGCGATTGTGTGGGAAGCAGCCGGCGGGATATCGTTGGGGGGGGAACGCAAGCAAGCAAAAAGTGTTGTTGTCGTTTGTCTTTGCATGAAAAACTCGCCCCCGGTCTCTGCTCCTCAGTCTCTGCCAACATCCGCACCGGCCCAACTAACGCGGGTGCCTTCCGTGGTCACAGGCCAACCACAGCAGTACATGAAAAGATAAAGGACCCCAACTAAGTTTGCCTTCAGAAAACGATGACAGGAAGAGACGCGAGAAAAAGAGACTCACGGAACATCCTCGTCCAGCACTTGGATGTCTCCAAACCCAGCCCTCGCCACGGTCCTGCACGACACCCCGAACGTCCGGAACCCATCCACGGAACCCCCGGGTAGCTCCGTCCCCTCCAGCAGGGGGGAACCGTCGCCGTACATGACGTGCAAGGCTAGTGCCGTCCCGAGTAGAAGGCACGCCAGGCTGGGGAGGACCTTCGACGCCTCCCGCGCCAAAAGGGATATCGCCTGGAGTACAGCAGCGGGCAAGATACATGTGGTTATTTATATAGTCTCTCTCTTGTTGCGGACAGGTGGGTAAAAGAAAAGACACAGATATCCCCAAGGACGGCAGACAAAAAGATAAACGTGCCAAGGAGCCGGCCGTACCGTGAAGACGGGCACGGGGAGGAGGTAAGGGCCAACACCAAAATATCAGATCAGGGGGGGGGGTTGCTTGGTTGTTTGGTGCATGCATGCACAAGTACTGCATCGTCGAAAGCCACGCGTACTGCTGTATCGTCAAAATCCCAACACGAAAAAAAAAAAAAACGTCAGCATGATGACGAGACAGCCTTCGGACGCAGCCATGGGCACCGCAGAAGAAAAAAACAAAACAAAAAACAAAACACACACACGAGCGCTAAAGCTGCTGCAACGTAACGTGGCCTCCGGTTGACATCCTGGCGAGCCCGCCCGTCGCCTCCCTCCCCCCCTTTCTGCAGCCCCCCTGCCCGTTCTCTCTCTCACCTTGACAGTGGGGCCTAGCACCGGCAGAAACGCAGCAACTCCTCCGAGCAAACGGAAGAGAAGCAGCGGCGCCGCCGAAGCGAGGAGGGCCACGAAACCCTGGAAGCACCTCCACTCGCCGTCTACCGCATCGCCACCGGAATCCTGGAGACGTAGCAAGGTAACAAGGACGATGGTGACGGGATTAGAGGTGACCGTCGTCGGACGAAGTGGAGGGGAGGGGGGGGTGGGGGTGGGGGGTACTCACGCTTTGCGTGCCTTAGCTGTTAAGACCGTTGACCACGCGTCCTCGAGAGGACGGAGCAGGAGGGGGGAGAGCGGTAAGTTGACTGTAGAAACGGCAGGCCCGTCCTTCTGTTGTGTCCATGTTGGGTGGAGGGGGGTGGGCGACGGTAGCCGTATGAGAGAGTTGGTCAAATGTTCTCCTCTGGTACGAAATGAAAGGGGGGCAGAGCAGCAGAGAGAGAAACTGCTGTGAATATTATGTGGTAAAGGCCAAGCGGTAAGGGTAGCCGAGACGTGCAAAGCTACGAGCACATAGAACGAGGAACAAATCAAGCAAAAGCAAAAGAGGGAAGCGAGCGGGGAAGCGACAAGCTACCAAGACAGCTTCAGAGAGAAATGCCCACCTGTACGTAGTCTCCCAGCCTGCACATCATGGCCGCCATCAGCACCACGGTCGAAAACTTCCCCCCGAAAAAAGGAGAAGAACAACTGCACAAAGAACCCCGTTTTCGTGAACGTTTCACTCGGTGTCGTTGTCCCAGCGGCTCTGCCGCGGTGCCCCCCTCCCTCGGATCTGTGTCCGCATCGCCAACAACCCCCCACACACCCGTAGCCACCTCGCTGAAACACATGCTCTGCGGCGTAGTTGGGTGAATGCGAGACAAGGAGGGAATTCCGACAGCGAGAAAAACGAGTATCGTCTGAGTGGTGATTGTGCAAGCACCGCAGTAGCATGTGTGGTAAGCGACGAGCACATCTAACGGAATGGTTGGATTGAGAGCACGAGAGAGCTGCAGCCGTACCCTCTCGCCACCACCGCGACAGCGACCACCAACATCAACTCCGTCGCCAACACTGGCGTCACTAACATTGCTGCTGCCACAGCCAACAAAGAGGTGCACATGAAAAAGGGCAGGTAGTTTCACTTGGCTCACCAGCACCCAGATGTACAAGAGCACCTCCCAAGGGTCGACGCTCCCAGGCTCAACTCTGTACAGAGCGACCGTGTAGATCGCCAGCATCAACCTGACCAAAAACACGATTCAATATAATTAAGACGGAAGAGCGGCGCATGAGCGCGGATTGGCGAAGAGAGAATACCAATTGGGGATGTTACATCATTCGTTTGCTGTCAACGGTCGATATCGACCTAGGCCCATCGGGCATGCACGCGGCAGGTTTTCTCGACCCTGAACAACATTCGTGTGCCAAATACTTGTATACATACTTGGTTCTCCATCTCCACATACTCGTATCTGTGACGTGCACTAAGCCGAGCGGTGGGTGCGAAAGTTCTAAAGGCTCTGGGCGGGCGCGCGCATTTGGTTCTGAGGTAAATGCGCCGAGCCCGCAGTGCCTCAGCTAGGACCACAACATCTACAGCAGCAGCAGCAGCAGCAGCAGCAGCAGCAGCAGCAGCAGCAGTAGCAGCAGCAACAACTAGCATAAACAAAACGGCGCCTCACAGGTAAACGACAGCGTCCAGGGCGAGTCTGGCGGCGGGCACCCGATAAAACACGTCTGGTCCTGTTGCAACTCCCACAAGGACGGCCTGAGTCGGTCGGTGTGACGTGGGCACCACACGATGACGGGGCGAAGCGAGGGAAGCTATGACCGGTTGCATGCTTGGGGTCGCATCGAAATGATCAAATCACAACGAAGAGAGCAATATAGCGCGCGTGCGCCACACACCCGAAGGTGACATCCCGATTCTCCAGCAAACACGACTAATACGTTGTCTTCGCTCTCTCGGCGCAACACACACCTACCTGACCGAAAGCATCAACATCAGTAGTTGTCACAGACCAGGGGGGGGGGAGGGGGGGGGGGGACCTTGCCAGCGGCCTTAGGAGAGCCTAGAGACAAAAAAAAAAATCGAGACCGGGGCGAAACATGCAAACCCAAATCACGTCGTAGCCCATGCCGTAATAACCCGGTTCTCCGGAAGCTTATGCTCATAGGAGAACGCGAGATACTACCCGAAAACGGCTGTACCCTCGATATCCAACAAGAAACAGACTCTATTCCAAAAAAAAAACGAGTTGCGGGAGTCCCGCGGACTATCTATACCTGCAGCGAAGGCGCGATGGTAATATCCCAGCTGGCAGCGGCATTCTTCAAGTGCCCAGGCGATGATCGTCGCGGGTCCACCCCTTCCACTCTCGTCGCGGTCGCATCCGCCGCCGCTGCTGCTGCTGCCGCCGCCGCTGCCGCCGCCGCAGCCGCGGTGTTGTGGACGGGTGTTGCCGCTGTCACCGCCGGCGCCGGCGCCGACCCTGCTGACGGCCCCGGTAGCCTTGCGTACCACTGAACGCACCGAAAGGGATGTAACAGGTATGATGGTCCAGACATTTTGGCGGGGATCGAGAAGTTTCGGAGATAGACGCAAGTCAGTCTCAGGATATATGAGAAAGCAACGCACGTTTTGGTTTGGGGGGAAAGCGCGGTACCACCGTCGGCTGAGGGTGTTACGCGATTGTACTAGATGCTGCCGTGGCCAAGAGGGCCAAGTGCCACCCATCGCTTTGCCACGCCTCTCTTATTCTCTCTCTTTACCGTCAACCACATCATCGTCCTCATCATCAACATCATCACCACCACCATCATCATCATCACTATCATCGTCACCATCATGCTCTTGACTCGCAAAGGGCATCATCGTGGTCATGACCGAGCTAAGATTGTAATTGGTACGCGCGAGCACCCCCCCGCCCCCCCTCTCTTGCCATATTTTCTATCGGTACCTGGGCGGGATTGGCTCCGCACGAGTGCACATCGAGCTCCACCCCTGCCGTAAGTTTCGCCCACAGCAGGTCTAGTACGAGGGGCGAGCACACCAGCTCTGTCCATCCCATTTGCAGAGCCAATGCCTGCAGGCAAGGGTATCAGTTCAGTTCAACACAAAACAAAAGGGGGCGGGGGTGTACTCACGCAACCGCATGCCGTAGTCCTTAGACAATTGACCTCGCATCCCGACAACTCCGGGACAGAGCGATATGCCGGGTTTTCGCCGGCTCAGGCTACGTTTCACAAAGATGAACCAGAATCTGGTCATTATCCTTGCGTTTGCTGTGCCAAACCAGATTTGCCACGTGTTGATTGAAGGTTGTTGGGGGGTTACTTTCTCCCATCGAGCGGGATAGCGACTGTAAGTAAACGATGCACCCTAACAGTCGCACAACAACCATCACCGGGGCACCCTTCAAGACCAGCAGTACGTTCACCCAGCTCCGCCCCCGCCATAATATACGAAGATCTGCGCAAGGTTTTCCTCGATGCGACGGAGGCGACTCTTAAGAATCATCAACGACCGTCTCCTTTCAGCCTGGGTTAACACTTGTTGATTCCCCCATTCACTGTAAGGGCTTCAACCCATCCCCTTCGACTCAACCCGCAGTCTTTCCTTCGTTGCATGTGTGTGTTTCCAAAAGACTTCAACGCACCCCCTTCGACTCGAAAACGGGCAGTCTCTCTTTGTGTGTATGTGTATTTCCCCAAAACTTGCGGGAATGGAGAGTGCTCACCAAGGGTCCCTCGAACGCCGCACCCCGCATGCCAACCGCCTCCGACTCCGGCTCGAACACCCATTCCGCAACCAACAGGCTCTCCTTGGCTCTGGCGTTGAAGATCACCGCGCCACGTCTGGAATCGCCGGCCTTCCCAGACCCCGCCTCTTGTCCCAGTCCAGCCAGGAGTACGGTACCGCAGTGGGGCCCCATCGTCACCATCCCGTTGGTGCCCCCCCCCCCGCCACCACTACAAGCAGCACCTGCGGAGCGCGAGATTGGTGCTGTCGGTGGTCTGCTTCCGGGGTTTCCGAAGCTGCGGTGGCCTGTGTTGTGGGGGGGGGTGCGACCAACTATCCCTGGTACCTTACGCTGTCTCTGCTCCAGACAATTCGTAAGTGGAGTCTAGGGCGGGGTAATTGCGTGTCTGCATCAGCGCCATGTTCGTTCCTTCTCCTTCACCCGACTGGCTGACGTAACTTCGACCGCCGTCGGCATGAATAGAGCAGGGCTATACGATTACATGGTCTCTGGCGCAGCTTTCCAATCAACCGCACAGAAACCGTCTCCGGCGGCCTTAACCATGCTGGGATAGCTTACATATCCTCTTGTGCGTATTGCTATTCGACCACGCTAGCGCAACCTGATGTGCGGGCATCACCCTCCATCGCCGAAACTCGACACAACCACCCGCCCCTTACGGTTCCCGCGCAATAATGCACAGGTACCTGTCGTTGCCGAGGTGGTGTTCCCAGAGTTGAAACTAGTGCCTTTCACGAAGCGTCGGTGCCGATTGTTCCCGCCACCTCCACCACCACCACTACCACCGCCGCCACTCCCACCACCTCCTCCAGCGCCTACCATGCTCGCGCCGCTGTTCATCCGGGCGAAGCTGTTCATCCTGCTGAAGATGTTGCTCCTGCCGCCGCCGATCCCACGCTTGTTGAAGGCACGCGCTGACACGGGGAGATTGGTCAAAACCTGATAAGGGTAGGCGATAATTAACACGGCAGGAGCGGGGCGCATGCCGTGTGTATCGGAGTTTGTTCGTTGAGTGTCGGGGATGAGAGGGAGAAGGAGGGAACCCCGGTGGAAGCGACGGTACCTGTCCAGAGATCCCCCAAGCAATAGAAGAGAGCACCCCCAGTGACACGACAAGGCACGACACGGCAATGCCACATACTTTCTCGCACCATAGCACTACTTAGAACGCTTAAATGACGACACGAGATGGAATTGCCACACGCTTTCTCGCACCAATCCGTAGCACTACCTAAAACGCCTTACTAAACCGAGCAGACGTGCTCTAGCCCTGCTCTTGGACGGCAAAGATTAAAACCGCCCCTGCAACACGACAAGACCACCGCAAGAACCGCCGTCTATCCCCGACAACCTATCTCCGCGTGGCGTCCCCCTTGTTGCCATCTCCATCTCACCTGTAGGACAAGCTTCTCGAGCGTTTTCTGCATCAAGAGAAACCACGAGGCATGTAGCGGACAGGACGCCTCTTTTCTCGCGGTGGAGACCGACGAAAGCACACCCAGGGAAGGAACAAGGGGGTTTCTGCGAAACGAGGGGAGTGGATCATGTGTCCCGGTTAGCGGGAAACGGGGAATAATCAAGACAACGGCTCTCGTTCCATTCATCACGCGTCTGCATCGGAGGGGGGGTTCAGAATTCACGACGCACTAACAACCTTCTAGGCAAACGTGGACGTGCGTTGAGATCGACACCCCTCATATGTAAAGGGTACAATCTCCCAACCTCTGTTGAGGTCCTTTCCCTCTTTTCGCACACGAAGTTCGCAAAAAAAGAAAAAATCGACGAGCAAAGCAGCGCGCCAAATCACTCACCTGGCCGAAGCCACAGCTTCCAGGAAGCAGTCCCTCACGCAACGCGGCCCGCAGGACTCCACGAGCCCCTCGATCAGCACCGGGCTCAAGCGAAAGCCGTGTGACAAGACACAAGACAACCCTAGTAGGTCACGCTGTCTTACGGCGTGCTGGAACGCCTCTTGGTCGGCTGGAAATCCCGCGAGCGCGGCGTGTGCACGCATGCCAGCCGTTTCAAGGAAAGCGCGAGAGAAGAGGGTGCGGGTGGAAAGGGACCGGTTGAGATATATAAAACCAATAGTGGCGTACTCACCAAAGACGATGTAACGGTTTAACAGGCGACGAACAATTCGGCTGACTACAGCTGTTGGACATTCTTCCATCACGCGAAGAAACACTCCTGCCGTGATAACTTCCAAAAACCAATATGCTGCACTACTCAACAGACCTTTCCCCAACAAGAAATAGAAGCGTGGACAACACAGACACTCCAGCCTCCACGCATCGTGTTGTCTTGTGACGCGAATACCCAGCCGCGCGTATCACGTGTTCCCTAACGTACCGGACACCAACAAGCGGTCGTCCAGACTCCTCTCAAGCTCGTCCCACGCGGAGTCCAGCAACTCCAACACCGCAGGCTGAAGCTGGGGACCCCGTGACAGCCACCCGGCCATAGCCACCGACTCCAAGATGGACCCCTTCTCTCTGTCTTCGCTGCCCGCCAGCAGTTGCTCCTTCAACTGCGCCGGAATAAAAAACGAGCGCAACACCGTGCGAAACTCCGCCGATTATTCTCCTTGTCCTTGTCCAAAATGTAGAGACATTATCGGTCCACGCCTCAGGCTTGGAGCTGCAAGAAACGAAGATAGGACTTCTATCATCGCAATACAGAAATGGCCCACGGTTCGGTGGGTCGAACCAGCAATTAACACAGACAAGCAGATGTGTCTGTGCCTGCGGCGGCAAATGCCACGAGGTTAAACACACCGCCCCCCCTCCCTCCCTACCCCTCCCCTTCATCCAACTCACCAATCGAGAGCCTTCTTCTCCCCTGTCGATGAACGCCTGCATAGCCGCGAAGAAAACAAAGCGGTTTCCTCTGCGGGAAGCGAACATCAGAGGGGACCAGCCCCCGTTGTCCTTGGTCATTAGCTCGCTCATTACCTGACGCGGGGGGCCGCATCCGTCACGAGGGGGGGGGGGTTGGCGGGGGGGGGGGGG